TCCTGCCGTCCTAAATGCATCATTTTTGGTAGAGCACTTTCTAGCTGAAAGCTGCCATCTGTAATACGATCAGATGTGTTTGTTTTAAATATTCATGCTGTATTTTCCTTCCTTTATCATTTATTTTTGTTTTTACAGGTTAGAAATGGCCACCAGCATGACAACCATGATGCTCTATAACATGGTATTTTTGGTGGCACTTGGATCGGCCCTGGCTTCAAGTCATAACTCCAGGACCGCTGATAGGGTTTCTGAGGCAGATATTCAGAGGCTCCTTCACGGGGTTATGGAACAGTTGGGCATTGCCAGACCCCGAGTAGAATATCCAGCACATCAGGCTATGAATCTAGTGGGTCCACAAAGCATTGAAGGTAGCTGATTCCTCCTTTGTACTGTATCTTGTTTGTTTGCTTCCCTTTGCAACCATTAGGCTAAAGTTGTTTTGTGTGTATGTATGGTGTCTACTCTAGGTATCAAAGCAACATGTACCATGTAATTCTTAATGTTGATTTTATTGTTACCTGAAGTTGAGCACAAAATCACCCTCCATTTTGCAGTTATACCTTGCTGAGGCTAACTAGTGATAACTTGTACATTGGACCAGCAAGAAGAGAACAGGGAAGTTTGTTTGCACCTGCTCTGCAAACCAATTAATGTTGACTTGGCAACGTTTGTGTTACAATGGCTCCAAATGGCAATCTCTGACAAAGTCCTTCTCCAGTGCAATATTCGTGCTGTACTACATCGGCCATTAGCTTACACATTCCCCTTCATTACCGATTTTACTCTACTGACTATATACTCGATGATGATAGTGAATGGGTGGTGGAGAACAACACAGCTTTTGCTCATTCTCAAAAGTTTTGGCTTATATTTGTGTGAAAGAAAGTTTCATATGAATCACAGTTTAAGTATGCAAACCAGTTGAACCACATGGCTCAAAGTGCAAGATATTCTAACAGTAATACTGCAACATATATGGAGATTTGTATTGTGTTATATTGGCAGTTTTTGGTGTTCCTAGTCAAAATATGACCATTAAAAAGCCAAAAATATGTGCTTTATTTCTCAAAGACCAAAATGATGCTATTGACTAAAATCCTGGCAAAAATTGCTAATATTCTATTTTTTCCATGATGACTGGCCTTGCCATGAAGATCTTAAAAGAATATTTCAGCCAAATACATGCGTATAGGGGCTGAAGAGAAGATTAAGTCTAACTTTGGCTTGATTTTTGTCTTTGGTGAAATTTTCGTGCCATCTTTTTTGTGTTTTTTATAAACCACATATATGTCTTATGGTGAAAAATAGAAGGAGCCAGTATTCCATTTTTTGTTGGATAAATAAGTGAGTTGTGGCTCTTTTGCTTGTTTCCTTTCTCTCCCTGCTAGTTTCTTATCTTAGAATAACACATTCCCATTATTTTGTGTTTCTTGTTGTTGTTCTGTTTCTTGTTTTGTTTTTTGAGTGGTGGCAGATATACCAGTTCTTTACCTTTTTATTGTAAGGTAGGGATTTGAATTGCTAACGAAGAACTCTTTCCTCTCAACTTTTTGCTGTGTGAGTTGGGTGGATGGCTGTGACTCTGAAGGGGTGCTGCTGAGCATGCTGGGTTGGGTGTACTGCCATACCTGCCCCCTCTTACTTTAGCTGCTGTGGGTTGGTTAAGGATCTGCTGACCAAACCCTGGGCTCCCGGCCCCAGGGTCTATAACGGGGTGGGCAAAATACGGCCTGTGGACAAAATCTGGCCCGCCAACCTATTCTATCTGGCCGGCAGGGCCTTAAAAATTTTAGAAAATTAATTTTTATCTGCCCCTCACTGCCTGTCAAAGATGACAGGCAGTCAGCGACAGTAGGACCCAGGGGGCCGCCCAGCAGCAACAGGACCCAGCAGGAGCCTGTGGCTGAGCAGCAAGGCAAGCCTGGTTCCACCCCGCCCCAGCCCTCACCCCCTTTCCCCTCCCACCCTCAGCCCCAAACCAGAAGCCTCTGTGGCCAAGTGGAAAGTAAAGCAAGATTGGATTGTATTGGGCTGGACAGAGGGGTGGAGGGGATCGCTGGAACAGCCCAGTGGCTGGAAGTGGGACAGGTGGAAGCAGGGCTGTGGGCAGAGGATACTGCTGCAGTGGGCGGGGGGTGGGGGAGGCATGGGGAGCAGCATGGGGTGGGATG